ACTGGCCCTGAGCTAACATCCATGCCCATCTTCCTCTACTTTATATGTGGGATGCCTGCCGCAGCATGGTTTTTGCCAAGCAGTGCCACGTCCACACTCAGGATCCGAACCAGCAAACCCTGGGCTGCCGAAGTGGAACATGCGCACTTAACCACTGCACCACCGGGCCAGCCCAATATGTTATCTTTTTAATATACTGTTAGGTTTGATTTGCTAAAACTGTGTTAGGTGGGTTTGCATCTATGTTCATGAAGATATTGGTCTGCAGGGTTTTTTCATGTAATGTCTTTGTTTGGTTTCAGTCTCAGGGTAATTCTGGCCTCAAAGAATGAGCTGGGAAATATTCTCATCTCTTCAATTTTCTGGAAGATTTGGGGTAGAATTGGTGTTTTTTTTCTTCCTTAAATATTTGGTAGGATTTACTAGTGAAGCCATCTGGGCCTAGAGTTTAATTTGCGGGAAGAATTTTAACGATAAGTTCAATTTATCGAATAGAGATAGGGCTGCTTAGGTTATCTGTGTCTTCCTGAGCGAGCTGCTTTGAGTGACTTTGTGTCTTTCGGAATTTGTCCATTTCATCTAAGTTGTTGAATTTATTGGCAAGTTGTTCATAATTTTCTATAGATCCTATAGTGAATGACTGCTTTCATGCCTGAGATTGGTACTTTGTATCTTCTCTCCCTTTTTCCTGATGAGTGTGGTTAGAGGTTTATAAATTTTATTGGTCTCAAAGAACCACTTTTGCATTACTTGATTTTTCTCTATTGTTTCTGTCTTCTGTTTCAGTGATTTCCAATTTGATCTTTATTATTTCCGTTCTTCTACTTACTTTTGGTTTAATTTAGTCTTCTTTTACCAGTTTTGTTTTTTTCTTTAAGATTTTATTTTTCCTTTTTCTCCCAAATCCCCCCGGTACATAGTTGTGTATTTTCAGTTGTGGGTCCTTCCAGTTGTGGCATGTGGGACACCGCCTCAGCATGGCTTGATGAGCGATGCCATGTCCGCGCCCAGGATTCAAACTGGCGAAACCCTGGGCAGCCGAAGCAGAGCACGTGACCTTAACCACTCCGCCACGGGGCCGGCCCCTTACCAGTTTCTTAAGGTGGAAGCTGAGTTCTTAGATTTGAGACCTTTCTCCTTTTCTAATATACCTCATTAGCGCTTTACATTTCCCCACAGATGTTACTTTAGGGGCATCTCACACCTTTTGATATGTTGGGTTTCATTTTCATTCCATTCCAAACACTTGCTAATTTCTCGACCCATCCATTATTTACAAGTGTGTCATTTGGTTTCTAAATATTAGGAGAATTTCCAAAGATATTTGTTATTTATTTCTAATTTACTTCCATTGTAATCAGAGAACACGCTACGTATGACCCGCATCCTTGTAAATTTCTTGAGTCTTGGTTTAGGGCCCAGAATGCGGGCTAGCTTGGTAAATGTACCACGTGAACTTGACAAGAGTGTCTTCTGCGGCTGTTGGACGCCGTGTTCCACAAATGTCCGTTAAGCTGTTTGATAGTGTTGTTCAAGTTTTCTATATTCTTACTGATTTTCCATCTACTTGTTCTATCAAGGATTGAAAATGGGTTGTTCAATCTCCAGCTAAAATTGTGGATTTGTCCATTCCTTTTCTAGTTCTTTCGCTTCTTGCTTTCCGTATTCTGAAGCTCTGTCATTAGATGCATAAACGTTTAGCATTGTTATGCCCCCTGAATGACATGACCTATTTTTCACTAGGAAATAATCTTGCTGGTAATATTCTTTCCTCTAAAACCTACTTTGATATGACTATAACCTCCTCAGATTTCTGTCGACCAGCGTTAACATGGTTTATCTTTCCCATCTTTTTGCTTTGAACCGTTTTGTGTCTTTATATTTAAAGTTGAGTTCTTATAAGTAGTGTACAGTTGGGTCATTTTTTAAAATATAATTTAACTATTTCTACCATTTCACTGGGAGATTGACACAATTTAAATTTAATGTGATTATTGATATCGTTAGGTTTAAATCTATCGTCTTGCTATTTGTGTTCTATTTGTCCCATCCATTCTTTGTTTTCTTTTGACCTTTTTTCTGCCTTTTGTATTAATTGAGTATTTTTTTTAGGATTCTATTTTATCTCTTCTGTTGGTTTATTAGCTCAAACTCTTTGCTTTTGTATTTTAGTGGTTGCTTTACGCTATCCATCTTTAACTTACCCTGGTCTACCTTCCAGGCTATTATATCACTTCCTGTATAAGAAACTTACATAGTCTATTTCCATTTTTGCCCTCCTAGTCTTCATGCTATTAGTCATACATTTTACTTTTACATAAACCCCGTGACAAATTTTTATTATTTTTGTTTAAACAATCAATTATAATTATAATCTTATAATGAGATCTAAATAATAAGAAAAAATCTTATAAATTCACCCATATAGTTGCTTTTCCCAGTGCTCTTTATTCCTTTGCGCGGCTCAGTTTCTCTCTGACAGCATTTTCCTTTTGCCTGGAGGATTTCCTTTGACATGTTAGCTCCCTAACCTTTTCTTCTGCCGTGTCTAATCGACTGTTAACCCTATCCAATGTATGTTTCGTCTCAGACATTGTCATTTTAATATCTTGCACTTTGGGTTTAAAAAAATCCCTTTAGTCTCCTTAGCATATGGGATGCGGTTATAATAACTATTTTATTGTTCTTGGCAACTAATTCCACCATCTCTGTTATTTCTGATTCAGTTTCAGTTGATTGAATTTTTGTCCTCACTATGGCTGATAGTTTCTTGCTTCTTTGCATACCTGGAAACTTGTTTTGAACGCCGTATACCATTTGTGCTCATTTTTCAGATAATTTTACTTTGTCATGTGCTAGTTTTGTAATCATATAAATATTCTTGAACTTTGCTCTGGGTCAGTCAATTTCCTTGGAAACAGTCGATTCTTTCTAGTCTCGCTCTGTGAGGCAGGCTCAGAGCGGCGTGAGTCCAGGGTTAATTTTCCCCATTGCTGGGGCGGGACACTTCTGGGTATGGCATGCTCTATAAGGTTTCCACTCTGGCTAGTGGGAGCAGGAAATATATTCCTGGCCCTATTTGAGCCACTGGGGTTGTTCCCTCTGGTCCTTCTGGGTGGTTCTTTCCCTGGCCTCATCGTTTTCCTCACATGCGTGCACCGATTGGTACTCAGCTTAATTACGTCCCACGGGCTTGCCGTCTCGGCACGCCACCAGCCTCTCTCTCCAGCTCTCTTCTTTGCAGGACTCTACCCTGTGAACTCTAGCCGGAGCCTCCCCAGACTCCCAGCTCCGTCTCCTCGACTCAAGGAGGCTGCCAGGCTGTGCGTCAGCTCTTCCTTGCACAGCAAACCGGAAGCTCCCTTCAGACAGTGCAACAGTGTAACCATTGGGGCTCTCCACGTTTGTTTCATCTCCCTCAGGGATCGTTAGTAATGAACAAGGACAGTACAATAGCTCCAAAAAGTTTTAACTGCTTAAATTTAAATCAAACAAAGTATGTATAGGATCTATAAGCTGAAAATTACAAAATGCTGATGGAAGAAATCAATTGTGACCCAAAGAACAGAGAGATGGGCTGTGTTCACGGTTTGACGGACTCGAACTACCTAGTTAGGATAACAATTCTCTACAAATTGATCTATAGCTTTCGTTCAATCCCAATTAAAGTTCCAGCAGGATATTTTTGTGGATATCAACAAGCTGATTAAAAAATTTATATGACAAGACAAAGGAATTAGAATAGCCAAAACAAATTTGAAGAGGAACAGAGTTGAAAAACACACACTCCTGGATTTTTAACAAAGATGAAAATGCAAGGGGCCGGCCCCGTGGCCGAGTGGTTAAGTTTGTGCCCTCTGCTTCAGCAGCCCAGGATTTCGCCAGTTCTCATCCTGGGTGTGGACCTAGCACCGCTCATCAAGCCATGCTGAGGCGGCGTCCCACATAGTCAACTAGAAGGACCTACGACTTGAATATACAACCATGCACTGGGGGGCTTTGGGGAGAAGAAGGAAAAAAAAGGAAGATTAGCAACAGATGTTAGCTCAGGGCCAATCTTTTAAAAAAAAAGGGAAAATGCAAGTCAGTGAAGAAAGAATTGTCTTTCAACAAATGGTGCTGTAACAATTGGACATCAGTACGCACAAAAAGGAAAAAGAAAGAAAGAAAAGGATCCTAAACCTATATTTCACATGTTAGATAAAAATTAACCAAATATGGAGCACAGAGTTCAATGTAAAACATAAAACTACAAAACTCAGGAGAAAACATAGGAGAAAAATCTTCATGATCTTGAGTTAGGCAAAGAATTCTTAGATATGACATCAAAATCAGGATCCTTAAACGAAAAAATTGTTAAGTTGGACTTGATTAAAATAAAAAATTTGCTCTGCAAAAAACACTTTAAGAGAACAAGAAGATAAGACATAGACTCAAAAAAACCCTTATCAATCACCCATCCAAAAAAAGACGTGACTCTAGAATATATAAAGGATTCTTAACTCGACAATAAGAAAACAAATCATCCAATTTAAAAATGGGCAAAAGATCTGAGGAGACGCTTCAACAAAGAAGATATAAAAATGACAAAAAAGCCCATGAAAAAATGCTCAACATCATTAGTCACCAGGCAAAATGCAAATTAAAACCACATGCTACCCTACTCCAGACCTATTCGAACGGCTGAGATCAAAAAGACTGACCATATAGGGGCTGGCCCGGTGGTGCAGTGGTTAAGTTTGCACATTCCACCTCAGTGGCCCGGGGTTCTCTGGTTGGGATCCTGGGTACAGACATGACACCACTTGGCAAGCCGTGCTGTGGTAGGCGTCCCACATATAAAGTAGAGGAAGATGGGCACGGATGTTAGCTCAGGGCCAGTCTTCCTCAGCAAAAAAAAAGGAGGATTGGCAGATGTTAGCTCAGGGCCAATCTTCCTCAAAAAAAAAACAAAAAAGACTGACCATACCAAGTGCAGGCAAGGATGTGGAGGAGCCGGATCTCTCACGCATTGCTGGGCTGCCAAATGGTACAGAATCTGGAAAACGGTTTGGCAGTTTCCTATAAAATTCAACATATAGCATTTCACCCAGCAGACCCACTCCTAGTTATTTCTTTAAGGGGAAATGAAAACTTACATTCGCACTAAAACCTGGACGTGAATGTTTATAGCAGCATTACTCATAGTAGTGGAAAGCTGGGAACAACCAAAATGTCCTTCAACGATGTCCTTCAGCGGGAGAACGGATAGACAAACAGAAGCGCATCCATACAATGGAACGTACTTGGAGAAGTGCTCAGCCAACATAAAGAGAACGACTATTCATACAGCAACCACGGGAAAGACTCTCAAAAGCACCATGCTAAGTGAAGGAAGCCAGTCTCACAAGGTTACTTACTGAAGAATTCATTTATATGACGTTCTAGGAAAGAATGGAGAACAGAGCAGTGATTGCCAGGGGTTAGGGGACTGGGTGACAACGAAGAGGTGGCGTGAGGGAATTTGGCGGGGGGACGGGACTGATCTATATCCCCACGTGGTGGTGGTGACCCCAATCTATGCATCTGGTGAATTTCATGGAAGTGTATACCCAAAAAACCCCAACAAAACTGTAGCTAATTCAAAAACCACAACCCGGCTATACATTAGAAAAGAGTTTTGTTATATTTCACCCAGCATTTCCAGATGCTCGTAGCAGAGGAGTTTTCAGGTTATCTGACTCCACCCTCTTGCCGGGGCTGGGCGACTTCCTGGTCCTTTGAACTTTTTATCTCCTGGGCGCTCTTCCTCTCTCCAAGCCAGCCACCCATTCCCACGTCCACGCCCTGGATCTTACTGCCACCGGGAACTGCTCTACCTCCAAAAAATGTATGCCATAACTCAGACAACCCACTCTCCAGGCCAGGGGTTCTCCAACGAGAGTGAGACTGCCCCCAGAGGGCATCGGGCAATGTCTGGAGACATTTTTGGTTGTCATGCCTGGGGACCAGGTGACAGCCCCCACGACAAAGAATTGTTTGGCTGCAGACGTCAAGAGAGCCAAGACTGAGAAACCAGCTCTAGCTTGTCCTTGCTGCTTCCAGTGCCTTGTTTCCTTAGACTCCTTTGAAACCCTTTCAACCTAACCCAGACCACCCTGCTCTGGTCTTCAGTCCTCTTTCTCCAGCTTGCAGCTCGTGGTCCATCACCTCAACTACCCCTTGGTGAATGTTCTCGTCTTAGTCAAGACCCCTTTAATTACGGGAAATATAAAACAAATCAAAATAGGGAATTTATTGGAAGAACTTAAAAGTAAAACAATGGTGGCTGAGTAAGAGCCAGCATTTATTGAGCACCCACATGGGCTGTTCCTCATCTTCAGTCACCCTTGGAGGTGGGTACCATCCCATCCCATTTTACAGATGTCGTATGGAACCCACAGGCAGGAAGGACTGCCACGCTGACCCAGAGTTTGAAATCGGAAACTGGAGAGACCGCAATGCAAGTGGCTGTTCTCCACGCTCAGTCCGAGTCCCCCGCTCTCCTCCTTCTCGTTCCCTGCAGAGCCGCTCTCTTCTCTCTGTAGACCCCCTCGTGCCACCTGCTCCGGAACGTCGAATGAGGGCTGCCAGCTTACACGGCCCTAATTCGGGAGACCAGCAGGGTACAAATGGCATTTCTGATTGGCAAATTCAGATCCCCTGTTCAGCTGTTTTTATAAATTAATAGACTTTACTTTTAGATCTACAGAAAAATTGAGTGGCTAGTACAGAGGGTTCCCGTATATATCGCCACTCCCCACAGCTTCCCTATTATGAACATCTCCTATTAGCGTGGTACCTTTGTAACACTTAGTGGAGCAATGTTGATAAGCTGTTATTAACGGAAGTCCGTAGTTTACATTCAAGTCCACCCTTTGCCTGGTACAGCTCTGTGTATCCACCGTTACAGTATCATACGAACAGTCTCGCCATCCCGGAAGTCCCTTATGTCCCACCTGTTCTTCCTTCCCCGTTCTCCCAAACCCCTGGCAGCCACTGGTCTTTTCACTGTCTACAGTTTTATCTTTTTACAGTGTTACATAGTTGGGATCGTGCAGTATGTGGCCTTTTCAGGTATGCTTCTTTCACTTAGTAATATGCGTTTGAGTTTCCTCCATGTCTTTTCATGGCTTGATAGCTCGTTTCTTTTTCAGGGCTGAATAATATTCCATTGTGTGGATGTGCCACAGTTTGTTTGTTCCTTCACTCAGTGAAGAACATCTTGGGTTGCTTCAATTTCTGGAGATTATGAATAAAGCTGCTATAAACATTTATTGCAGGTTTTTGTGTGGATGTAAGTTTTCAGCTCAATTGGGTAAATACCAAGGAGCAGGATTGCTGGATTGTGTGGTGAGACTATGCTTAGTTTGGAAGAAACTGCCAAACTCCCTACCAAGTAGCTGAACCACTTTGCCTTCCCGCCAGCAATGAATGGGAGTTCCTGTGGCCCCACATCCTCACCAGCATTTACTATTGTCTGTTTTTTGGATTTTAGCCATTGTAACAGGTATGTAGTGGTATCTAATTGTTGTTGTAGTTTGCAGTTCCCTAATGACACACGATGTTGGGAAGTATTCTTTTCTCTTCTATTTTCTGAAAGAGTTTGTGTAACATTAATATTATTTCTTCTTTAACACATATTAGAATTGACCAGTGAAGCCATCTGGGCCTGGAGTTTGTTTGTTTGTGTGTATGTGTATATGTGTGTATTTGAGAGAAGTTTTTCATAATGAATTCATTTACTCTGATAGATATTGAGCTATTCAGATTTTTATTTCTTCTTTGGTGAGTTGTAATATTTTTTGTCTTTCAAGAAATACGGCCATTTTATATAACTTTTGAAATTTCTTGCAATAAAGTTGTTTGTAATACATATGTATATGACTTGTATTCCAAATAAATAATCTTTGTAATTCAATGAGAAGACAAAAATTCAGTTAAAAAATTGCCAAAAGATTTGAACAGACACTTTGCCAAAGGAAGATATGTAAGTAGACAATAAGCACGTGGAAAAATGCTCAGCATCGTTAGTCATCGTAGAAATGCAAATTACAGCCACAAGAAACTATTACACACCCTCTTGAAATGCTAAACTTAAAAAGACCAACAGTACCAACTGTTGGTGAGGATGTGGGGCAAATAGAGCCGATCCATTGCTGGTGGGAATGTGAAATGGTGCAGCCACTTCGGAAAAGGCTTGGCAGTTTCTTATGGTTAAACATACACCTACCCTTTGACCCAACCATTCTACTCCTAGGTATTTACCCAAGAGAAATGAAAATATTTGCCCACAAAAAGACTTGTATATGAATGTTCATAGCAGCTTTATTCATAACAGCCAAAACCTCAAACCAGTCCAAATGTCCATCAGAGGAGAATAGATAAGTAAATCGTGGTATTTATCCACTGAATTCATATAATGGAATACTTCTCAGCAATAAAAATGAGCAACTTCCTGATACATCCAACACCCCGACTGAATCACAAAAACATTCTGCTTCGGGGCTGGCCCCATGGCCGAGTAGTTAAGTTCGCGCGCTCCGCTGCAGGCGGTCAGGGGTTTCGTTGGTTCGAATCCTGGGCGCAGACATGACACTGCTCATCAAACCACGCTGAGGCAGCGTCCCACATGCCACAACTAGAAGGACCCACAATGAAGAATATACTACTATGTACCGGGGGGCTTTGTGGAGAAAAAGAAAAAAATAAATAAAATCTTAAAAAAAAAAAAAGAAGAGAAGGTTCTGTTTCTTTAAAAAAGAAATTCTGTTTCAATAATATGAAGTTCTAGAACTGGCAAAACTGATCTAAGGTGAAAAAGTCAGAAGTACGATTGCCTCTGGGAAGAGATGAGAGGGAACTCTCTGGGGGTGATGGAAATATTCCGTATCTTGATAGGTTGTGGTTACAGGGCAAGATCCATTTGTCAAGACTAATGGAATTTACATTTACAATCTGAGAATTCCAATATATGTAAATTTCACCCCAAAAGAACTGCAACTAGACGTTGAACTCCTGCTAGTAGGTTTGATTTCACGTTGGAATGGCTTAGGAATTTTGAAGCTGCCTTCCATGTATTCTAGACTTGAGCAAATGAGTACATCTATTGAGGTTAATGGGAGTCAGGTCTCTCACTGTTGGGGAAGGGAGTTACAAATATGGAAATGGGGAGGCATCTGTATGAACTCGTGGTCTTTGATTGATAGATAACATGGAAATATATATAGTGCTATGTGAAATATATGTGTATGTGTGTGTTACATATATTACATGTATTTTCTGCCATGTCTACCATGTCTGCTAAGCTAGCCTAGAAGCAATGATACACCAGTGCACATGAGCACACCTGGTGCCAAGACCCTGCTTTCTACATCCATTCACCACCAAAAGGAAGCCGGACTCCTTAGGGATCTGATTGGTCCTAGGGCTGGGTCAGGGAAAGTACAAGTTGATCCTAGGATTTCTTGGGGCTTCAGAAAGTAAGAAAGTATTCAAAGAATCTCAGGATCGTGTCCAACGGGGCAGGAGCCAGCTTGAAGGGGATGCCACTGGCCGAATCTGGGGCAATTTGAGAATCAAAATAAGTAAGAGTGGCTCTATAGACTGGATGTTTGTGTCCCCCCAAATTCATGTGTTGAAACCTAACCCCCAATGTGATGGTATTGGGAGGTGGGGCCATCTGGAGGTGGTTACGTTGTGAGGGTGGAGCCCTCGTGAATGGGATTAGCGCCCTTATAAAAGAGACCCCAGAAAGCTCCCTCACCCTTCCACCAGGTGAGGACACAGCGAGAAGACGGCCTTCTCTGAACCAGGACCTACAGAATCTTTTTGCACCTTGACCTTGGACTTCCCAGCCTCCCGAACTGTGAGAAATAAATGTTTGTTGTTAAGCTACCCAATCTATGGTATTTTGTTACAGCAGCCCGAATGGACTAAGACAGTAGTAATGGATTGGAACTCATTAAATAAATTAAGAACCTTTGAGCCCATACCGATATAAATAAATCAAGAGATGAGTAAGTAAATACATTAGACTGGAATGTAAACTTAAATATGTAATTGGTGGTAATGGATTGTAGCCCGTTGAGTAAACCAAGAATCCATAAATCTATCTATATCCATATAAAATGAATACATACATACATAGAAGAGAGGGTTAAACGTAAACTGATAAATACAGAAAGAATGATGAAGTTAGAAAATCATCAGTGGATTCTAAAACTAGCAGGTAAAAGCTTCCTATGAAACAGGATACTTTCATAGGCTCAAAGTGTTTCTCTACAAATCACTTATTAATTACAAAGGGGAAAACAGTACCTTGGCATGTCAAACGTGGCAGACACCACTTTAACCAAGTCATCAAACCTAACACCCCCAATGTTGGGACAAACAGCGTCACGGGCTTCTTGATATGATGCACCTGGAAGCACATCGCTTCTGGATATTCTTGCCAAAAATGCATAACTTGAATCTAATCATGAGGAAACATCAGAAAACCCAAATTGAAGGACATTCTACAAAGTGAGATCATCAAAGACAAAGAAAGACTGAGAAACTACAAGCCATGACAACCAAATGCAATGTGTGATCCTGAGTTGGCTGCTGGACCAGGGAAAAAACAGCTATTACAAAATAGTATTGTATCACTGGTAAGTTTCTTGAATTCGAGAACTGCACGGTGCTCATGTAAGAGAATGACCATTTTGAAAACACACGTTGAAGTATTCGGGGGTACAGAGACATGATGTTTCCAACATACTCCCAAATGGTTCAAAAATAATATTTACGTATATATATATATGTATAAACAATTGATCCTCATTATTCATGAATTCCATATTTGCGAATTCTTCTCTAGCTAAAATTTATTTGTAACCCCGAAATCAATACTTGGGGCCTTTTTGTGGCCATTCAGGGACATGTGCATGTGCAGAGAGGTAAAAATTTTGAGTCATCAGAGGACATGGTCCCAGCCAAAGTCAGAAGCTGATGCTCCAGCTTCTTGTTTCCATTCTCGTGCTGTAAATAAGTGTCCTTTTGGCGGTCTATTTAGTGCCACGTTTTTTGTATTTTTGTGCTTTTTTTTTGGGATTTCACCGTTTAAAATGGCCCCCAGGCCTAGTGCTGAAGCGCTATCCAGTGTTTGTTAAGTGTGAGAAGGCCATGACGTGCCTCATGGAGAAAACACATGTGTTCGATGAGCTTCCTTCAGGCGTGAGCCACAGCGCTGTTGGCCATGGGTTCCATGTTAATGAATCGACAATATATCTTAGTAAGGTGTCTTTAAACAGAAACACACGTAAAACAAGGTTGTGTGTTGATCAGTTGATGAGAACGTGGTGACCAGAGGCTGGCAGGAACCCAACCCTGTATTTCCCCTAAGAGCAATGATTCAGTGTTCACACCAACTCTGTGACTACAGCCAATAAGGAGAATGTAAATGATTGGTGAATATGAGTAATGGGTACACGGGAATTTTTTGTTCTAGTCTTGCAATTTTTCTTTAAGTTTGGAATTATATAAAAAGAAGATATTGCCCAAATAATTGGATCAAGTCACTCTTGGCTTCTCGTTGTAGTTGGAATAAAATCCAAGGTCTTCAGCAAAACTTTGAGAGTCATATGTGATCCAACATCTGCCCTTTCTCCAACTCCATCTCTTGTTGTCTCCCCCTCACCCACCACCCTCCAGCATCCACGGTCGTCTGACCCTTCCTAGGAGGACACACTAAGCTCCTTTTCACCTCTGAGCCTCTGAATTCACTTGTCCTTTCGCTTGGATACCTCTATCCAAGTTCTTTGCATGGCTGGGTCCCTCTCACCCTTCAGGTCTCAGCTTACTCTCGTCTTGGAGAGTATGGCCTTGGCCACTCCATCGAAGGCAGGCATCCTTCAGCATCATTTGCCTCCACGGTGGCCACTTTATTTCTTCCACCCCCTTCTCACATCCCTAATTGTTTTGTTTCTTTGTTTAGTTGCTGAATGTCCATCTCCCCCCTTAGGCTGTAAGCCTCACGAGGACAGGAACCCTGTCTCTCCCATTCGCTGTTATTTCCCCAGGGCCTGGTGCATAGTAACATGGGTTGAGATGGAGAATGAGAATCTCCCTATGAAAGAGATTGGCTAAACTTGGGTCAGAGGGCCATGCCTGGCCGTGGGGGCAGAGTCCTGCCAGAAATAAGCCCTGTGGAGGCTGAGGGCATGGTTTTTAGAGATGAAAGGTCATGAATTGGGCAGACCCCACAAGAGGTGCCTAGTCCAGCCCTTCCTGCCCTTGCCCACTGTGCTTTCAGCTGCCTGCCTGGCAAAACCGCAGAATCCAGCTGCCCGCCTCTTTGTTGCCTTCACAGAGATGCCAAGGGTTGACGGAGGCCATCTCACAATGGCGTAGACGGTTCTACCACAAATTTACGATTCCCCGCGTCTTCAGACTCTTTGAGAATGGCTCCCCGTTTTCCTAAGCTGCTCTCTCCTTCTCCACAGGACGACCTTCTCCACTCTCCTCAAGTTGCTCATCTCCCACTCTTAGCTAATCATCTCAACTCCTGCTTTACGGAGAAGCTGGACGCCGTCAGAAAGAACTCCCTCGCCCACCAGCCACCAGACATCACATGTGTCTGCATCTGTCCACATGTGACGTCCCTCCCTCCTCCCTCCCGAGGCCACCCCTCCCTCCATACTCCAAACCCACCCCCTAGACCCCCTGGGGATCTGCTCCTTCTTTTGCATCCTCTCTCTTCTTTACTTTCAACCTCGTCCTCTCCATCGGGCTTGTGTTGGCTTAAGTTCCCCCAAAAGCAGACCCTAAAACAAAGATTTGGGGGAAAGTAGTTATCTCAGGAAACCGGCAGGGAGGGAGAATGGTCGGGAAGGAGAGTTTTAATAAGTGGGTTACTGCTGGGGGTAAGTGGGGCTCCTTCTTGTGGGTGACGGCCTGAGGAACCGTGTGGAACACGCCCAAGGATCGTCCCACAGAGAAGAGGCTGACCGTTTATCAACGGACTCCTCCCCTGTGGGCCGAGCGTTGCCCTGGACATTGCTTCCCCAGCACTCCTAGACTGCAGCTGCTCTCCAGTGGTGCCAGAGAAATTCCCCAGGAAGATGAGACAGGCCACAACTGGAGACGGGGAGAGGTCAGTGGGCTACAGGTGGGCTGAGTGCAGCAATGGCGTGTGCGCGAGGCTCCTGCCCAGCCACAAACGCAGACACTCACTAGCCTCTCCCATTAAAAAAAAAGGCTTTTTCCTAGACCCCATCACTCCCTATTACCTGCCATCTCCTATTCTTCTAAGCCAAACTTCTTCAAACAGTTGCCTACCCTCTCTGACTCCATTCTTCCCCTCTGCTCTCCGACAGCCCTCTCAGTCAGGCACCCAGTGCCACCACTCCCCTGAAACTGTACTTGTCAACATCGGGCCCTTCCTTGTCACAAAAGTCAGTGCATATTTACGCTGTCCAGATTATCTTCATTTATCTGCTGTTATCCCTCTTCCAGCACATGGCCACATCCTCCTCCTTATAATATTTTCGTCTTGTCACTTCCGGGAGGCCGCATCTCTTTGGTTTCCTCCTACTTCTCTGGAAGAGGCTTCTTGGTCTCCATTGTGCACTCATCTGCCTCTGCCCAGCCATTAAATCTGGACCTTCCTGAGCATTGGTCCTGGACCCTGTTCTCTGTCTACACCCTCCTGCTGGGTCATCTCATCTATCACCAAGGCCATTCTTTGGTCATCCTCTTTGTGTGGAGAGAGAATTGGCCCTAAGTTAGAACATACATGGGCTCATGGGCAGTAGTGAGCGGTTTGGCTGGCTGATTAGTGGCCCGGGAGGAGAAAGTTTGGAAGATTGGGGACAAGCGGGTGGAGGCAGGGGGATGGACACATGGAAGTGGGCACGAAGCGCGAGGATCTTTGCACTGCATGTTAACATCCACCAGCGAGCACCCACACAGAAGAGGCCGCAAACCAACGAGTGGGCCAAATGACCCAGTCAGTTGACACCCGCCACCCCAGTGCTGGTGCCCTGGGCATGTGAGTAGAGTAGCCAAGGTGGCAGGGACGGAAGCCATGTGTGGGCCAAGCAGCGTGGACTCCCAGCTACCAACACTGATCCAGTGACTGCCTCGCCCAAAGTCCAACCTGCAAGCAACTAAGACCAAAACCGGGTCCCCAATAAGGCATCATCCCCCAAGGGGACCAGCTGGCCACTCGGTGACAAGTTGACTACTTTGGACCCTTTCTAACCTGAAAGGCCACGTTTCATTTTGACAAGAATAGGCACATTCTGGGAATGGGTTTGCCTTTCTGCCTGCATGGCCTCAGCTTCCACACACCACGGCTTACACAGGGATCCATCGGCGCGGGATCCCACAGAGTGTTACATCAGACCAAGGACCCACTTTACAACCAAAGGGGTGCAGGAGCGGCCCCATGGCCATGGGATCCACTGACGTGTCACAAACCGCTCACGCTAGAGTTGTCAGCTGACATGGTGGAGTGATGGACAGGCCTGCCGAAGGCACAGCTCAAGAGTTGGGTTGGAGGTGATAACTTCGTGGAGCTGGATGCCGTCCTGCAGAAGGCACTCTATACTGTAAATCAACGACCTCTCCATGGAGTTGGGTTCCCAGTAGGAAGCAGACAGGACTTCAGGAACCAAGAAGTGGAGGCAGGAATAGCCCCGCTTCCGTCACTCTCAGTGACCTGCTTTGTCCTCCCCACTCTGCCACTCAACTCTGCAGGGTTAGAGACCGCGGTTCCCAACGGGGGACAGTTTCTACCAGGTGACACAGCAAGAGGCCCACTGAACCATAAGCTATAGCTGCCACATGGGCACTTTGGGCTCCTTGTGTCCGGGGACCAGCAGGCAAGAAGAGGCGTCGCCATCTTGGTGGGGACGGTTGTCCCTGATCATCAGGAGATAGAGCCGCTGTACCACAGTGGGGCAGGGGGTGCACGTTTATTACCAGGTAACCCACTGGGGCACCTCTTGGTATTCTCTTGCTCATTTTTTGTGATAAATAGACAAGGCAGAAGGACCTCAGCCTGAGAAGGACACGGTGACCAGGGATGAGAGCCTGGGTCACATCGAGACTGGCCCAGCAGAAGTGCTGACTGAGAAGACAGTAAACACCAGTCATGTCCCCAAGAGCCGCTGCAGGGGTGAGGGCTGTGGCTCACCCGCGGACATTGCCTTCTAAGTCTCCCCTGGAAAGAGGTCTGCCTGAATGCCACAGACGCTGCTCCTTATGTGGGGAGGGGGCTCCAAGCAGTAAAGGGGTGGACTGTGATGTGCGCTCCCTGGCACCACTGGGACCTCCTTCAGGGATGGAAGACATTGCCCAGCTGTGGGGGTGCTGTTGGCAGGCAGCCCCCTTTGGGGATCGCCTCAGCTGCCCCGCCCAGGCTCACCTCTCTTCCAGGGTGGCTGGCATGCATGACAGACCCGTATAGGGGTGTGAATGCTCAATCTTCTCACCCATTTTCAGAGCTCCCCACGGGGCTTGCATCACAGATCAGCTTCTCCTTCTGCCCAATCTTGCTTCCTTCCATTGCATTCTCTTCCAACGGTGTTGATCCCAAGAGTGGTCTCTAATCAACCTCCTGCATGTTCCTCTCTGCCTCAGGGTCTCTTCCCCTGAAACAACCACGCTTGAGAAATGCTGTAGCATCATGACAACTTTCTGCCACATTCATGATGGCAGAAAGAACCTGGTGGGAAAAAATATGGATGTTGATAACTCTGAGTTGAAAGTGATTCAGCAGAGTGGGAAGAAGGGTTGGAATGCTTTTCCACTTTGCGGCGGACGTTGGCAGTGCCCATTCATACCTCCTCAGCACCCACTGCCCCCCTGCCTGCGGACGCTTCCTGCTGCATGCGCCCGCACCTCTGCCCGAGGCTTCCCATCTGTGGGAGGCTGCGTGCTGGGCAATTAACAGGCCCAGGGAGCAGCACCTATTCAGTGACCCACAGGAGTGTGCGCCAGGAACCTGGCCCTCCTGCCTCTCAGGTGGGATAACTCTGAAGCCTGTCACATGCTGTCGCCCAGAGCCCCCAGCAGGGTTGAGCACAGTTGCCCACCCACAGCAGTAAGCAGATCATTAATGCACCCAGTTCACCAGCTTGTTCTCGTCCCTGTCTCACCTGTCCCCTGCAGGGGCTTCCTGGGGTCACCTCCTAAATAAACGATGGGCTCTCAAATCTTTTTCTCAGGGTCAGCTTCTGGGGGCCCCAACCTGAGACAGTACCAGACATGGTCCTGGGAAGCAGGCCCTCAGGATGGGATCATTTGCCAGCCAGAGGGTCACCAAGGACCCACTGCTGAGGGGAAGTAGGTGGTGATGCCTTGAGCCCACTGTAGCCTCACAATGACTGAGACCCTCACCATTGGGGGTCGGGGTGGGACGGGGCCCAGGTGGAAGGGGTGCACCGGCCCGAGCAGCTGCTCCAGCACCTGAGTGACATGGAGGCCACAGTATCTTTCAGGACAGGAGAGATGACTGGTGGGGGTGAACTGACAGCAGACACAGGCCTGCAGCCAACTACTAACCCAGGGGGTCTGTGTGAGCCCGAGGCCCCAGACAGCCTGTAAGGGCCCCATCTTCCACAGCCGGGGGCAGAATGTGCTAAAAACTGAGGCCCCACGTCTGATTGTAAGAGAGTCCTTGTCATAGAGAAGGCGGTGTTCGCAAACCCACAAGCACAGTGCGATGCCGGCACTCGGCACCTTATCTGCATGGCCGAGGGGACAGTGCACCGGCTCCAGATTGCGGCATGCCTTGGATTGAAGCCGGGCTCTGCCCCTAAGGCTATGTGACCTCAGGCAAGTCCCTCTGAGCCTCAGTTTCCCTTTCTGTAAATGCGGATCACCGTGTTCCCCATCAGAGCCTTTCCCAGTGTGTGGCACACAATGGAAATTCAGTTAACTGGTTGGTGTTTTTTCTCAATTGTAGTAAAATACACATAACAAAATTTACCATCTGAATTATTTTTAAATGAACAGTTCAGTGGCATTAAGTACATTCATATGTTGTACAACCCTCCTCACCATCCATCTCCAGAACGCTCTTCATCTTTGCAGACTGAAATTCTGTCCCCATTAAACAAGAACTCCCCACTCTCCTCCCCCAGCCCCCGGCACCCACCGTCCTACTTTCTGTCTCTATGAATTTGGCCACTCTAGGGACCTCCTATAAGTAGGCTCATACAGGCTCCGTCCTTTTGTGTCTGGCTCCCTCACTCAGGGTCATCCGTGTTGTAGCATGTGCCAGAATTTCCTTCCTTGTTAAGGCTGAATAATATTCTATTGTGTGGATAGAGCACACTTTGTTTATCCATCCGTCTGTCGATGCACTTGGGTGCCTTCCACCTTTTGGCTGTGGTGAATAATGCTGCTATGCACATGGCTGTACGGTTTTATTATTTTAATTAAATAAGCAAATGTTTGCAGAATGCAGCCTCAAACCAAATACTGGTGCCTCCCCCGATGCAGCGCCTTTGCCCTTAAGTTATATTTCATCGTTGGAAACTCTGTTTCCAGAGGGGATGACGAGGAAACGCAGGAATTGGATGGCGTGGGCCAGGAACTCCTACCTCACCTGGCACCAGCAGCTACTGGTCCCCATGGAAGGAGCCTGGGTCTCACGCAAGAACTCCACACAGGATGGTCGTAACCGCTGCTGTCCCCAGCTCGTGCCCTGTGCCCAGCATCCTCCCTGCCTCGCCCGGGGGCAGCTGGTTTTAATTTGGAAACAACTCTGTTTTCTTTTCTTTGCTGCAATATTTTTTTCTCACTTCCAGGAAGGGTTTAAAGCTTCAACTCTGCTTTTCCTCTTCTTTTTCTCTTCCTTTCCATTGCTGAAAATTTCAGTCTAAAAGCCATTAGGAGAGTTAAGGTGGGTGCCCACACACGAGAGGGGAGCGACAGTGGGTGTCTGCTTAGCAGGGCAGTGGGTTCAGGGCAGAAGGAGGGTGCCTGTGTTGGGAGAGGCCCGATGTGGGGTGTGGGAGCCTGATGGGGTGAGGAGGGCACCCATGCAGGGGAGTAGAGGGTGGGCCAGCACAGGGGGTGAGAGCCGAGTGAGATGGGTGTCCACACAGAGGAGTGGTCCAGCACCCGGTATGGGGGCCCGAGCAGGCAGAGGACGTCGTTCGTTGTGGGGGCAGCAGGCAGTGGCAACAAGGTTGGTTACAGATGGGAGGTTTGACCAAATAAGTACCTTTATTAACTGCAATAGGAGCCAAGTTTTCAGCTGTTGGAGAAGGGAGTTACGAATATGGAAAGGGAGAAAACCCAAAATGAACCTGGGATGTTGGATGGGAACTGGGTTAAAACCTGTGTTTATACATAGTTAGATATAGAAATACAGATGCAAGTGTGCATGTAAATACATATACTCCACGGAGAGGGCCAGGAAGCAGTGACACCACAGTGGCCCTGAGCACACCTGGCACCCGGAGCTTGGCTCACCCCAAAGGAACCAGAGCTCCTGGGAGAAATGACTGATTCTGGGGCTGGCGTCAGAGAACAAGAGACAGAAGTCAGTTTGAAGAGGTTGCCTCTGGCCCAATCTGGGGCAATTTGGCCATCAAAATAAAGAATGATGAAGTGGGTTGAATGATGTCCCCAAAAAAGATGTGTCCGCGTCCTCATCCCCGGCCCCTGAGAATTTGACCTTATTTGGAAAAAGAGTCTTTGTAGATGTAATTTTGAATCAAGGATCTCGAGATCATTCTGGATTACCTGGGTGGGCCCTAAATACTATGACAAGTGTCATAAGAGAAAGGAGAGGGGCATTTGACACAGAGACACACAGGCAAGGCCTGGTAAGGATGGAAGCAGAGACTGGGGTGATGCGGCCACAAGCCCAGGGACGCCTGGAGCCCCCAGAAGGTGGAAGAGGCAGGAAGCACCCTCCCCTGGAGCCTCCGGAGGGAGCGGGGTCCTGCCCACACCTTGATTTTGGACTTCTGGCCTCCAGAACTGGGCGAGAACAATTTTCTGTTGTTTTAAGCCACAGGGAACTAATACAAATGAGGAGACACGGCCACCTCCCTCTGGGCTGAGCCCTTTCTGGGTTAAGTGACTCTCCCTGCTTGGGCTAGAGTCCTTTGAAGGAGATAGAGCCTGTGAGGAGTCCGGGCCTGGGATCAGTTCTGCCTTCAGAGGCTCAGAAACAGGATGCTGGGGGCTTGGACCAGCGGGGGGCTGTGGCTGCCAGAGGCACTAGCTGCACAGGAGGGACCTGGGCCTGGCCTGCAGAGCCACTGCATGTCCTGCTCCGACACTCTGGGGAATCGGTTGCCCCCTCCAACCTCTGGACGCATCGGCACGTCCCCCGGGCCTTCTCCTCAGAGACCTCCATCGCTCCAGCAAGTTCTTGCCGGTTCCCCTGGCAACTGGCTGCCCTAAAGTGAGCCCTAATCTGGGCCGCAGTTGCCAGAGGGTCCAGTCTCCTGAGGGTCCCCGCTGAGGCCTGGGCACCGCCGTGGGCGAGGCCTGGGGCCGGGGGAGTGGAATTTGTGCCTGTAGATTGTGAGGACAAAGGAAAGGAAGATTCTGATTCTTTGTTGCTTAGCCTTTCGGCTGGCTCCCTGGGGGCTTGTCCCCTTGTTTCTACTCTCTGATTAAAGAACAAGAACAGTCACACAGAGATGGTCGGAGCCCCTTCTCTCCCCCTCGGTGAGCTAGCTTCCTCCCGGACCCGAAGGCCTTCTTGAACCTCTAGGGACCCCCAACTTTGAAGCCAGGGTCTCTGCTCCAAATGCCAGGGCCAAGGCCCCAGTCAGTCACCTTCTCTGCCTGGCCACCCAGAATGCTCTAGAGGAAAATAATCTCTACTTTTTTTTTTTTTTTTTTTGAGGAAGATTAGCCCTGAGCAAACATCTGCTGCCAATACTCCTCTTTTTGCTGAGGAAGACTGGCCCTGAGCTAACATCCGTGCCCATCTTCCTCTACTTTCTATGTGGGACGCCTACCACAGCATGGCTTGCCAAGTGGTGCCATGCCCGCACCCGGGATCTGAACCGGCGAACCCCGGGCCACTGAAGCAGAACGTGCGCACTTAACCCCTGTGCCACCGGGCCAGCCCCTCATCTCTACTTTTGACTTGCCACCCCTAGGACTTTACCCGGGGACAAGCCAATACCCCAGCGTGTATCTGTGAGGTATGACCAGGGAATTCAGGGTGATGAGATAGAGCAAAAAGATGACTTTGCACACAGCATAGATCCTGGCCAGACAGGACCAAGGTCAATTTAAAATTGGCTTGAGGCTTCCAGTCCAGAGTAGGCCAGACAGCAGCTGGGAGGCGGCCCAACGGCCTGTAGAGGAGAAGCGCACCTGGTTCTGGAAGTTTCCATCAAGTCTATTAGAAGCAGGAGCAGTTTTTCCTCCTTCCTTTGAACATCATCACTCAGCAACAGCCAGCACTGACAGTATCTGGACGGAGAAGCAAGAATCTTCCGCTCCCTCCTGTTCACCTTGACCCTGGAGCCTACACTTCAAACCTGGGTCATTCCCACAAGTAATGTCTGGGAAACACCCAAGGGAAAACTATTTTGCGAAATTTACTTGGCCGTGAGATAAGTCGTGAAAGAATTGAAGTTTTCGTTGAGCGCTAGCCCAGTTCAATTCACGTCTTGTCCAGATTTCCCCCGTCTTTTTTGGGTGTATAATTTACATGCAGTAACTTGTACAGAACTTAGAGCTACAGTCGGAAAGTTTCCATAACGTGTGCACCCGGGGAGCCACCCCCGGATAGAGGACTTTTCCATCACGCAGAAAGCTGCTCATGCCCCTACTTCGTCAGTCCCACCCGTCCGGAGATTTCCACCCCCATAGATGAGGTTTTCGCTGTTCTAGGACATCACCTACTTGGAATCAAACAACTTGTACTCTCTACCTCCGGCTTCTTTTACTCCGACACAGAGTTTCTGAGGTTCATTATGTCGCAGCGCCTTCATTACTATTCCTGAGTAGGATTTCATCGCACGGATAGAACACAGTTTGTCTATCCATTCAGTACAAATAAAGCTGCCACAACTATCTTTGAAGGGAGAAAGAAAGAGAGAGAATGAGAAATAAAGAGAAAGAGAGAGAGGGATGAAAAAGAAGGAGAGAGAAAGAGAGGGAGAGAAAGGAACAAATTATAACCTATTGAACAAAACAGGAACCCAGAAGTCCAGAGTGACACAAATATATTAATACATTGAAGGTTTGATGAGGAATGGGATGTTTACATCCTCTCAAATGCCTCTCCACTGAACACTTCCTTATTACAAAGGGAAAACAAGAGATTTTCCGGTGGAGAAGCTTGGCAGACAGCCCTTAACCAAGTGACGCAAGAGAACATCATCAGTGACAGGTCAAATGGAAGTCCTTCCCCACCCGATAGGACATGATGAGAAGAACACAGCCTCGTTACTGTGACATTCCCGCCAAAGATACCCGACCTTAATATAATCACGAGGAATCCTCAGAAAAACCTAAATTGAAGGACATACTACAAAATCCCTGGTCTGTAACCTTCAAGAATGCCAAGGTCATAGAAGTCGAGGGAAGCGTGAGGACCGTTCCAGAGTGAAGGAAGCTGAAGAGACCCGACAGCTAAGGTACCGTGGGATTTGGGACGAGTTCCCTTGCAATAAGGGACATTACTGGGGTCACTGGGAAAATGTGAGTACAGTCTGAAGATTAAATGGCAGTGACCTACCCATCTCTATTTCTTGATTTCGGTCCTCCTGGTCCAGTTTGGCGCGGGGACAGCTCAGTCGGAAGCAAACACATCCCAACGTGCTCAGAAGTTGTGGAGCATCCAGGCAGCGACTTCAGGAAAAAGAATTCTTCGTGCTAGACTTGGAACCTTCCTGTAAGTTTGAAATTATTAAAAAATAGTAGGATTAAGCATTCCCTGCCCTTGAGGGGACGAGCTTTTCAGCTGCCGTTGGCCCTTTCTGTCTTTACTTCTAGGTGTGTGTGAAAGGACGGGGGTGACTACGGCTGGGCTTCTTTTTGCTGGTGATGGAGAAGACAAAAGAGGGTGTGTGGTGGGAATCCGAAAGAGTACCAGCCCTCAGGGTCACAGGGCTGTGCCTGGGGCCATCTGGTTGTCCCAGGCGGACAGAAATCCCAGGACACCTCTGAGCTTGAAAGGCAGGGAAAGGCGTGTGCGTTTTGTCAGGGTTGGGGGTGGAGAAGCCTCCTCAGCTGACCAGCTTGAGGCCCCAGAGACGGGAGAGGGGTTAGAAACCGCCTTCACTTCCTTTTACTCCCGTAACAATCTTGGAAGGCTAACATCGTCCTTCATGTATCGAGCCTCTGGATGCTGGAGATACAGCAGTGAACAAGGCAGGCCCAGCCCCCTGCCATCAAGGAGCTTATAGCCTGGAAGGCAGAGATGGCCAGTGGATGATGAGTAGGTAAAAGATACAGATGCTATGTCGCTCCCCTAAGTGAAGCTCATCCATGGCTCCCTGGTGCCCCCAGGGCCTCTGTGACCTGGCCTGAGCTTCCCTCTGGGCCTTGACCCTCCTTCTTTATCAGAATAAGACCTATGCCCTCTCCTGCCCCAGAACCTTTGCACTGGCAGTTTCCTTGGCCTGGAATATTTGCCACTTGTCATTTCTTCACCCATCGCTTTGGTCCCTGGGCAGCCTTCCTTGCCCCTCCACCTGGGGCCAGAAGCCTTCTCTGGCTCCCACAGCCAGGGGCTTCCTTGTGTCCAGCACTGGCCACACTGTGGAGTTGCTTACCCTGAATCTGGAAGGGCAGAACTTTGTCAGATTCATCTCCAAGCTCCCATTGCCCTGTTCAGGGGCTGGCATATAGTTGGTGCCTAATAAATGTTAGTTCCTGTGTAAAAAAAAAAAAAAAAAGATACATACGCTAGATGGTTATATGTGCTAAGGAGAAAAAAAACAAAAACCACCAAGGCCATTGATGGAGAATGAAAGCTCGGTATTGACCTGAGCAATGGAAAGAATCTCTCTCCGAGAGGTGGACGTTTGCTTGCATGTGCATGTGCTCCATCATGGCCACACTCTATTTGAGATTTCTATTCAACACCTAAGTGTCTGGTGTCAGAAGTTCAGAGAAGTCCAGGCTGGAGACGAGAATTGGGGCATCTTAAGTCCATAAATGATTTTAAAGTTCTGAGTGAGAGGACTTAGGCAGGTCCTTTGCACAGGTGAGAGGATGGTGTGTAGACAGGCTACACCATTTGCCCCAAGTCACATGGCTGCTAAGTTGCAGAGCTAGGATTCAAATCCAAGCCAGACTTTGTGCCAGGCCCCTGTTCACAGCTGCCAGAGTCCTGCCGCTCTTGACTACGGGGCCTTCGAGAGATCATGCGACCTTTCACAGGCTCGGTTTCCTCATCTATCAAAGGAGGGGTGGGCAGTGGAGGCACAGGTGGGAGGCAAGGATGGTACAGGGGGCCCAGTGGTAGTCAGGCAGGTAGCCAGGGAGCCGGCAGCCACCCAGATGGGTCACCGGAATGGTCCTGGGCATGCCCCCTCCTTTCCCCACAAGTCTGGACCACCTGCTCTCATCAGAACAGCCCGGTCTTCCGGGCAGGGGTGGGGGACCGGGTGAGACACGCGTGCAGAGTCCAAAAGCTGACACATATCACTTTACAACGGGAAGCCACACGCCACCCAGCCTGGAATTCTGGGGTCAGCACGACCTGTGGGCCCTCCCTGTGGGCAAAGGATCCCAGCAAGCAAATCCCTGCCAGCCGGTCACTGGGTGAACCTGGCACTTGAAGAAGGGGACTTGGAGAGTGATGCAGCATTGATGGACCAGGCTGGGTCTCTGGGGTGTCCCCTGGACCCTGCTACGGGACTGGAATAGGCTCTGTGGTCTCAGCCGGTGCCCTACCAAGGGCACCGCTCCCAGGTCAGCTCTGGGCTGGCACTCCTGGTGCTTCCGGAGCTGGCCAGGCCCCTTCCGCGGACTTAGTCCTTCTTTAGGGTTGTTAATATCTTTCCCTCTGTCCAGGCTTGGGCGGGGTGGGGTGGGTGGTCCACTGCCTCTGTGGCTTAGCAGTTCCACTCTGGGGCACCTAGAGCCTTCACAGTGTAAATGCCAATGCGCCTGTCACGTGGGGGCTGGGCAGGTGCCTGGCCACACTACTTCCTGTCCCCCATCCCCCCGCCTCTGCCAGCTGGCAGGAGGAGGCCTCCAGCTGGCCACGCTCACTGTGGGGAAGTCGAATTTCCAGTCTCTCACAGGAGGGCCGCTCGGGGCTGTGCCCTCTGCCCAGCTCAGCTGGTATCTCTTCAGCATGGCTCCATCAAGGTCCTGAGCCCCAACTCAGCTGTGCCAGGAGCTCCGGCCTGCCCTAGGCTCCTCAGCTGAGGCTGGAAGCAATGCAGGGAGGCTGGGGGAGGGACAAACCCAGAACCCGGGAGCCTGAGAGGAAGCTGTGCCTGGGTTTGCGCATCTCTCTCTCCTGCCAGGCTGCAGGTCAGGACTGTTCCCTTGTAAGTCACTGCCCAGAACACTTGGTCTGGCACTGGGCAGTGAATAAACGGAGGTGCCAGCATCTTGGGAGTCTCGCGGACACCTTTAGGCACCACCCCGCTGCATCTGGCAGCCCGTGGGGCCTGGGGGTTTGCGTGTCAACCCTAGGGGTCCGTGTTGGGGTAGACTCTGGAACGTCTGAAGCAGGGAGGACACTGGTGTTCAGGGCTGTAAAGGGCTGCCCCAGGCATGGCTGGATGTGGGGCCTGGGCATGAAGACCCTGGAGGGTCCACACAGGGCTGTGGCTGCCCACTGGAGGCAGACGGTGTTTCCCTCCCATGCACACCTCTGAGGGGCATCCAGTGTGGGGGGTGTGTGGCAAAGGCAGCCTCAGTGGGGCGCAATTTGAGTATTTGGAGCCATGCACTATGAAAATCTTGGAAAGTCTAGCAATAAATCAGAAGCTAATGAGACCAAAGCAATCATTTGTTAGATGCGTTTGCAAAGAGGACCGTGGTAGGGCGACTATGATGCCACAGAGGGTCCCGTGGCTTTTAGAGTGGAAGAGCAGGAAGCACAGAGCAATGTGCCTGGATCTGCTTTACCTGAGAGGTGGGGAGGCTCTGCCCCCCATCCCCCAGGTCGGTATTGGGAGGGGGGAGGTGGGGAGGGGAGGTGAGGGCCGGGAGAGGAGCTCTGGTTTTGAAGATCTAGACCTCTCTGCCTGTTAGCCACATGCGCTCAGCAACTCACTGTGCCTCAGTTTCCCATGTGTGGAAGGAATAATAAGCATCGTGTCTACTACCCAAGGTCAAGGAGGAGGGAAAATGAGGTAAGCACCTGTGTTGGTGTTAGCCGGACCACTGTCCTTGTGTCCACCCACACTTTCCACTGTGCCATCCTTTATGGCGTGCCTACTCTGTGCCAGGCCCTGGGGACGCTGGGAAACCAAGGTGGAGTGGGGTTCTTCCTGGAATCGGTCTACCTGCTCCCTCAGTTCCGGAAGCCGAAGCCTTTTCCCCCACCCAGGGCAATTTCCCGACCACTCCCTCTTCCTATCCTGCTCCAATCCGCGTCAGGTCCCCGGCTTCCCCGCGGACACCTTTAGGCACCACCCCGCTGCATCTGGCAGCCCGTGGCAGCCTTGGCTTCTCCTCGATGTCTGCGTGTTTCACCAGAGTACTAGGCAAGGGCTCTGGTTCAGGCCCTGACTAGCTGTCTTAGAGGTCACCTAACCTCTCTGTGCCTCAGTTTCCTTACGTGTAAACTGGCAACCCCAACGGTCCGCACCTCCTGCGGGTTGTTGGAAGGAGTGAATGAGACCGGGCATCAAAGTCTGGGAACGTGCCTGGGATCCCGGAAAGGTCGCATGCATGTTACTCTCACGGTTGTTATTTTGTAGTCATTATCAGCAGACGGCCTGAGCCAACAAAGGGCGGGGCTTCGCCCCATCCCTGCAGCGCAGCACCTGGTGCGGGTGAGCCCCTCGGCGCCTTCCCGACCTGCCCCAGCTCCCCGAGGGGGCTGCATCCTTGGTGCTGGCACTGCCCAAGTAGGGCGAGAATGGCGATCCCGCTGTGTCGCGGAAAGCCCGGCACACAGTAGGTGCTCAGGAAATGGCCGGTGGACCCTGGGAAGCCAGTGGCTCGATGAATGCACGCTCCCCTCCTCCTCCCTCCCCCATGGCGCGATGGAATGCCCGGGCTGCCCACATGGTCTTGAAGGGTGTATCTGCCTCCGATGACACCCATTCCCACAACAAAGAAGCTCGCCTCCTTGGGGCCACCTCCCCTCGCCGCAACCGGGAGACGCAGTGGGCGAGGAGCCTGCCCAGCCCCCAGGGATGTCCCGCGTCCTGGCTCGGGAGCTGTCCCCGGTGGGTACAGCGGCGCCAAGGGCCCAGGGCGGGGGACCAAACGGGCGAAGACACATCGGGCCGGGGAGGCGCCCGAGGGGCGCACGGCGACGCCGCCTCCAGCCGCGATTTAAAGGGCAGCGAGGGGCGGAGGGATCCCTTGACTGCTCGGCGCGGATCCCTCCGCCGCGAGCCCAGAGAGGCAACGGCTCGGCTCGGCCCCCTCAGACCTCGCCTTTTGTCCCTCCGCCGTCGCGAGCACCCGGCGGGGGACTCATTTCTTTCTCGTGTTTCTCCGCCTCCCCCCGCCGAGTCCCGTAAAAGCAACAGAGGCGGCCGGGGCGGCGCGAGCCGGCGTGGTGTCCCTCCGCCCGGCCGAGGGCACTCCTTTTCGTGTCCTTCCACCGTTCCCGGGCGGCGTCCGAGCGGCTCACCGGGGGCGGCGACGCGTCTGCGGCGCGGGCGGCGAGGCTCCGGGGCGATGAGGTGAGGGCGTCCGGGCACCGGAGGCGGCAGCGCGGCGCCAGGACCCCGGACGCGGAGCCTCCCGGCCGGCGGCTGCCTCTGGGCCCCCGCGGCCGCGCGGGAGGCGAGGTGAGGCCCCGGTCGCGGGGCGCGGGGCGGCGGGGGCGCGGCGCGGTGGGGGCGGGGGGCTCGGGCCGCGCTGGGACTCATTTCCCGACAGCGGAGGGAGCGGGCGGTGCTGCGGCGGGCGCCGCCATCTTGGATTTTACTCTCCATTTTTCTGTGGAATTATTTTTTGGTGATTAATTTTCGTGGGGGACGGGGAAGTGTCGCCGGGCGGCGCGGGCCCCCCAGCGCAGCGGCGGGCCGGCGGGGCCTCGACGCGCCCCGAGGAGGAGCGGGCGGGCCGGCGGTGAGCGGGGCGCGGGCGGCCGGGCGGCGGGGCGCCGGGCGGCGGCGGCGGCGGCGGGGGCGCGGGCCGGCGGGGGCCGCGGCGGCGGGGGCGCGGCCGGGGAGGGCGGCGGCGGCGGGGTGCGGGCCTGCAGGGGGCGCCGCCGCCGGAAGGGAGCGAGAGCGGCCGCCGGGCAGCGCCGGGCCGGCCCGCGGCCGCACGAGGGGAGCAGCCCCGGCGCTCGCGATTGGGGGACTCTGTTTTCCCTCTTCTCCAATGGGCAGCCGGGAACGGGCTCGCCCAATCTGCTCCCTCTGCCGCGCTCCACTTTGGGTTGTTTTTGTTTGGGCTCGAGCCTCCTCTCGCGTCTCCTCCCGGGCCGGCCCTCTCCCCACTCGGTCCCTCCCTGGACGGCGCTGCGGCTTCTGGCCTCCCTGCCCCGGGTCCCGAGGAAACGGGCTGGTCCTGCCAGAGTGGCTCGGTTGTCCTTCCCCCATGGCCCGAGATGCTGTGTGTCCGAGTCCCTCCCACCTGTGAGAGGGGGACGAGCCCGTTTTCAAGATGACAGCTGGACCCACCTTGCTGGAAGGGTACAGAAGCGCGGTGGACCCGGAGAAGTGCGCTCCCTCTCGATTGGGGTGCCTTTGACCCGGTTCTGCGGCTCTTGCTGCCCCTCCGTGGGATGGGGAAACTTTAGGAAGACCGAGGAGGCGAACCTGTGTTCTTTGATGTTGGTTTTCAAGAACTTGCCAAATGATCTTGTCTCGAGTAGTGGGCAGATGAATTGATGGGTCGTGCTTGTCATTCTCTTCATCAGGACCTTCTTAGGTGTCAGGTGTTTTCGTGTAAAGTGTAGTTGAAGGCCTGATAGGTCTGAGGGCTGCTGCGTAGCATCATCCGAAGCGGCTGAAACTTTTTTCCTGTAGTCTTTCCTATCGAGAGCACAGCTGTAAAGTTTGATGACTAGTGTAAAAGCCCATTTGGAAAAGGGAGGGGGAAATCGGTTTTGCCTGAAATCGTCACAGATAATTTGTACCTATTGAAAAGCGCGCTTGGAGAGTTACTTGCTATAGATACAAGTTTACTTTGTAGCCGAACGTTTCAAACGCAAGTTGCACCGCAGGCGTGGCGCTCGCTGTCGAGGCTCCCTGTCTTCCGAGATGAAAGTCCACAAACGCTTTCACCCCAGCGTGTGTGGGATTAAAGCTCAGGCGCGTTTTCCAGTTCTTACTCGCTAAACATTCCACATTCGGCTCTCCTTTTCCCAAGCTCCAGCCCCACTAGTTTCCCATGGCTGGTGTTGGTCACATCCTGCCCAGATGCCTCCACCCCCTGTCCCCATTCACGCCCATCCTTCAGAAAGGCCCAGGGCCGTGTTCCCTCCTGGCGGAGGCGCTCATACACGCAGGTGCAGGGACTCGCCCGATCCAGAGAAGGCACGCTTCCTCTGGGGTCCCTGAGCCGCTGTTATATTGTATTATATTTGGTTGGTTACTTGCCCATCCTCTCAGCTTTTTGTGAGCTTGTGGAGTAGTTAGTTATTGCCTCTGCCCAGGGGCAGGTGCACCGTAGGTTATCGATAGGCGCTTGATGAAAGTGTTAATTTATTAATCTCCAAGTTAGCAAGATTAGTAGTTTGTATTTAGTTTTTCAAAATATGTCCGTTCTAATGTTATTAAAAAACGTTGTCATTAACAAAACAGCTTAGTTTGGGGGGGAAAGGAATATTATGGATACTTAGCCTTCAAGAGGAGAGTAGCATGGGGCTCAATTGTTTTATCCATAAACTTTGAAACCAAACTTTCACAGTAATTCCCAGGTGCTCTCTTGCCTGTATTTTCATCTGTCTTCTTGTGCACACTGAACTGCTTATGTTTTGAACTCTCTCTACTTGAACCAAATACCAACGGGCAGTACTGGGGGGAGGTGTGGTGGGGGGTATAGCAGGATATGCGTGTGAAGGAAGTGGTAGCAGGTTGTTTGCTTGTCTTTGAGCATAAAGTTTTGTAGGTGGGGGATGTTGGTTTGTAAATTTTCCCTTGGGTCATATAAATCTGGGATTGAATCTGATTTTTCTTTGAGTATCAATTTGTGGGTTTATAGGACATGAGTATGTGATCTGGTTGTGTTGCAAAGACATTTGTGTGCATAGCATCCGAACAGCTCCCTGCCCACAGGAGTGCCCTTCCCATGGCTCATGAGAGCAAATCCCTTACGATACATCAGGTTGATGCCAGTAGTTTGTATTCCCACCCACCATATATGAGCTTTACTTTCTCTCCAGTCACCAAGTTCCTTCTCCTCCGTGGGCCAGAGTTACAAGACCGTGTCAGCTCCAGAACACTCTAATTATTGAGTCTTCCACACAGCGTTAAAGACAAGGACCATGTATCTTTGCTCCACTGTGACACACTTGGTCACACAGATTTACTAAGTAAATGTGAGGAGAGAGCAGGGTAGTTGTATCCGAGATACAGCTCTATGCAATCGAAATAAGGTTTTGTATAAAATATAACTTATTTTTTCAGCGTGATTTTTATTTACTTTTGAGGGGGAAAAAACTTATTTTACTGACGTGTTTGGTTTAGGAAACAGTTTTAATTGCTACAAGAAGCACAAGCCCAAATTATTACAGGATAAAACTTAAAACCAACCAGTGCACTTCCAATCGCAAGCCTTAGGGGCTCTAAGTGTTAGAACACAGTGATTTGAAAAGTAATTTCTGTCTTGGATAGACTGCCAGCTTTAAAATCTTAAGGCATATACTTCCTGTCTCAGGCTCTTAAGTTTGAAATGTGAATTAAACCCTGCAGTTTTAATGGCTGCATTCCACCGAGCAAGCTGTCCAAGGAGGGGTTCTAGCAGACAGGCAGGGAGCACCCTAGGGCTGTGACCAAAGGAGTTTTAACCGGGGGAAGATTAACAGCTTTCTTTAAATTCTTTCTACAAACTCTACACTCCTCCTCCCCGCTCCAAAAAAACTACAGTTCTGTTTTTACTTTAGTTCTTGTTGTCGCCCCTTCTCTGCCCCGTTATTCGGTCTTTCCTGGAAGATGAGGGGTGTGGGCTGAGAGGGAGGGTCATGCCTGGTCACTCTCTAGCCCTGTATTTCTCTGTGAATGTGATCCGACTTTCTCTTTGTCCTAGTCAAATTAAAGAAAGCACTTTCACTTACAAAAATATCTTATTTTATTCAACAGACACGTTCCCAAATTTTAGTCATGCACATCTTATTTTAAATACATTACAGAATTTTACTATTTTAAAGGCGTGCTATAGAGCAAATCCATCTGTACAGGAAAAACTCATCACCTTATTTTTGTAAATCCACATTAATGTCCAACATTAGCTTTTTAAAAAAATTTCTTTTGATCCTCATATTGCTTGGAGGCAGTGAGTTAGACAGGGTATATCATCTTTATATAGTTGGTGATGGAACCAGGAACCATTTGCGTTAACTCTTAAAATAGTCTCACAAAAGGGAGAAAAAAGTCACTGATCCATGGTCATTCATGCACTAAATTATCTTTTGCATCACAATTTTCCTTCCATCGTGCTAAAGGCTTCCTAGGACCACCAGACCAGTTTGGGCGCTCACTGCCTCGGGCTCCTGCGTCTGCCAGCCAGGTTTGGGGCTGGCTGGTGCCTGTGCAGGACAAAACTCAAACGCCACGCAGTCTTCTAGGGTTCCGTGTGATGATGATGACCATCTGTACATGTCATTCTGGGGCTGGTTGAAGGACCAGTGGGGTAGGAGTCAGCGCTGCTCTGTCATTATCTGTGTAAGACATTGACAGGGCCAAGCCTCAGCTTCTTCGTCTGTAAAATAACTAAGCATTAGCCTCTGAGACCGCTGTAATCCTAAGTTATACTTCATCTTTTACACTTAATTGCCATCCTATGTTCTCACTTCTGAGAGCTATTTTAATCATACTTCGACATCTCTCTAATAGGTTTGCATAATTCATTTGTATATTCCCTGTGGTTTTTCCTCTCTTTTTGGCATGTTAATAAATTGATGGTATAGCTTACAATCACTTGGGTTTTAGAATTGAGAGACTAGGGTGTATCAGTGGTCTCAAAAGCATGATTCTTAATGTCTATATGGCTCCTTGTCAATTGCATCTCTGCAAGTTGTGTTCTTTTCTGTATTCTAGTAGTACACTGAAGAGAAAAATAACTAGCCCAGGGTGTTCCCTAGTGCTAAGCCTCTTTATTTACGGGTGATGCACATGTGCCTCAAGTATTGCAGTAAACCCCCGACTGCAGTGTAAACACAAGGGTTTTAGACCCAGCCTCACCACCTAATAGCAGTTTGACTTCAGAAAAGCAACTTTGTTTCTGAACTTTAGCCATCTCATTTGTAGTGATGAGATCTTTCTCACCTGCCTGTGGGGTTGCCAAGCTGGTGAACCCCTCCGTCGTGTATTAGGGTGAAGCCAACCTATATTGCAGTTCGCACCATCTTTATAGGAACGCCCAGTCCGCAGATTTCTAATGGCACTGGTCTTAGGCGGAAGGCCGCTTCAGTGAAGGGTCATTCTGCTTCCTATTCTGCACCCTTCTGCCCTGTTTTTTGGATGCTGAGTTTTCACAGGCTTCCCCATTCACCTAGTAGCCCTGCCCCATTTTCCTGAAAGCTGAAGCTCTCGTGCGCCCTCTAGTGCTCCCTGGACACAACCAGGATTCCAGCACCATGAACAGTGCCCAGTGGCTCCCAGTGGGTTCTTGGTAAATGTTGGATTCAGTGGATTCTAGGTCTGCAGAGTGATTCGTTTTGTCTCTCTGATTTGTATAACAAGGTTGAAGTGTCTCATACAGTTTAATGAGCTCTGAGGAGTGTTTGGATTTTTAAGGAAATGGTTTTTGTTTCAGGTGTGGAGAAATAGACATTTTTATCAAGAAAACGAACCTACTTTTAGGAAAAGAAGGCTCCCCTGACTGAGGAGTAAAGGAGGGCCTGATCCTTCAGCCAGTGAGCCAGTGGAATGTGGGGCTGGAGAGCCCACAGGGAAACCTCTCCCCCCCCACTTAAAAGAGAAGCGGAAACAGACCTCAGTATCTGGGAGGGTTTAGACAAAGCCAGTTGCCTCAGAAAATATTTGTTTGGTGGCTGTAGATAGATACAAGGAGTGTTTTTGATCCTCCCCCTGAAAAGGGTATGTTTCTATATTTATCCTTTTGATGTATTTTCCCTGATCATCCAATCTACAGTCTATTCCTACATTATTCTCTCTTCTGACATCCTATTTGTTTCCTTTATAGCTCTCACCAGAATTATAGTTTCAGACTTATTGGATTGTGTCTCTTCCCACGCTATACTCTGAGCTCCGTGAAATCAGGAACCATGCCTATTTTGTTCTAGGGTCTTATTCTTCAAATATGGGACAAAGTATGCTTAAAAATTTGAGTCAGGATTGTATTGCTTTCTTGTTTGTTGTCAAGAATGTACAGCCTCTCTCAGCCCAGCCTTGGCTTAAGTGTTTTCTAATTCTCAAGGCTTGCTCTCATTTGTAAAACGAGGATGATAGTAGTATTGTATATGTTATTGTATATACTTAATATTTTTATGATATAATTTGATTCTTTATATGTTAATGAGTATATTGAACATATTGTATATGTTAAATGACTGTGATGGAAGAAAATGAGGTGATGCACGTGAAGTTATAAGCCCAGCTCTTGGATCACAGCAGAGCAGTAGTGTGAAATGC